TGAATATATCTCGTCCCCTGACAGGTGCCTTTGTAATGATATAATCAATGCTACTCACTTCACCTGTCAGTGGTTTTAATATTGTCGCTGATCAATGTATATACTTTGTATTCAACCTACCACCTCCTTGATCATTGATTTAAAAAATATTGCGTAATTAGCTTCAAGAAGAAAAAACAACTCATATTTCCATATATGATACATAGCACATGATAACACATAACTTCAATGACTTGTCTTACATGGCGTCTAGCTAGAAATTATCAGGGTCACCAACAACACTAATTAACACAAACCAAACAAATATGCAATAGACTGAACCATTTTATATAATAAAAAATCTATATCAAGATATAATACAATTGGTGTTAAAAAGAATGAATAATGGTTGTTATAGCAGTAAAATTACCACAATATGATGAGAGAAGGGTGTTATATTTAGCAGAGGTGTGCCAAGCAGCATTTGAAATGTAAATCAGCATTAGAGAAGAGTCGCAACCTCATTTAATGCAGCCAAAAAAAGAGAAAGAAACAGAGCCACTGTTAATAAAAAAAACACACCAGAAATTCGATCTGCAAAACGTAGGCAAAAAAATCTTATCTTGAAAGATTCTCTAACTTAGCTATAGTCATAGTTCTACTATCTTTATCTAAAATGTTAAATTCCATTTCAGTTCACTCCAATTTGGTGTTGGATAAGTAAACTTCAACATTTGTGTCTTTCCAGTTCAAAAGATTTAAGCTTGACAATATATTAGTTGTGACTTTTTGAGATAAACAAACTAATAAACAAACTGATGAGCAATATTTTAAACCTTGTTGTGACAAGGATAATGCAGCCCTTGTGTCCAATTCTCTGTTTGTGTTTGCATAGAAAATTATGTTATTTATCTGATAATTTTAACAACCAGAAGAAAGAAGACTGTAGTAAAATGGATATAAAATTTGAAGGAATTGGCTACATAAAGTCAGATCACTAGAGGTTAACTAAACAGTTTTGATAAGTACTATACTTGGAACTCATGGACAGATTAATGTTTCAAATGATAGAGAAATGTTGTGTTCATTTTAATGGCTGTCTAATATTCTTTTAGATAGACCAGGTTTTCCTGAGTTTCAACATTAGAGCAATAAGTTATCTCATAGAGTGCTAGTCCTAGAGATTAGCAAGGTTCCAAACAGTTAGACAAATTAACCTTACTTTGAAATATAACTGTTTACAAACCAAAACAATTTACAAAACATATTACAAATTTCAGATGTATTCACTAAAATGTGAAGTCAAGGGTAATTCTAAGTGAATTACATATTGTATGCCAACATAGATAGACTAAAAATGTGACTGAGTTATCCAATTTAACAAAAATGTGAAATCTCCACAAATGAGTATTTTCTATTCCTGAAAATCCACATTTCCTGAATAAAGTGAATCTATCAATTGTTGTATGAAACAATTCTGAATATGCCTTCATCTCTAATCCTAAACATCATCATAAACGTCCAGATATCAAGTTAATATGTGACTTCTCAAAGTAGGTCTCAAAGATGGAACATCACCAAAGTTTTAGCAAATAGGTGAGGTAACTCAATGATATGCCAGGTTAGGCTTAGTTTTACAAAATGTGAGTTAGAATATATTTTGGTAACACAAGGTAATTTAATGGGAAATTCCAAATCATTTATGTTAGAATCTATGTGTAGATTAGATCAGTGGTCCCCAACCTAATCCTCATGGACCAACAACAGTCCAGGATTTATATATTTCTATTTTTTATTCAAATGGAGATACTGACAAAACCTGGAATGTTCGTGGTCCATGAGGACTGGGTTGGGGACCACTGGATTAGATTTTACTTAGATTTGCTGGTACGAATTATCCACATATCTATTTTTTGATTACATCAGAAATGAAAATGTCATAACTACCTGCAAAAACTTGGGCCACAAAGATACAGAGAGCCATTCACTTAATTTTGCCTTGTCTGAACAGAATTAGGATGTAACTTTTTAAATGTTTATTATAAATGTCGAAGAACACTGAGCATCACATGAGCAACAAAAAGTGTAGGTGACTTTCAAACTTTTATTGTATGGTAATATCCAAAGAAGAAACAGTTCCTCTGTTAGTTTCTCCCATGCTGTGGATGCTCCAAAGATACATATTTTTTTCTGGAATGGAATTATACAAGAGATTGACTTCCTTGTTTTGTAGAACTACACAGAATAGCTGGATTTTTCTTTACATTACTTAAAGGACCACTCTAGGCACCCAGACCACTTCAGCTTAATGAAGTGGTCTGGGTGCCAGGTCCAGCTAGGGTTAACCCATTTTTTCATAAACATAGCAGTTTCAGAGAAACTGCTATGTTTATGAATGGGTTAAGCTTCCCCCTAATCCTCTAGTGGCTGTCTCATTGAATGCATTATGAATGCTTTCCTCTGATCGCTGAATGCGCACAGCAGCTCTGCCGCCGCGGCATTCAGCCGACGGGGAGGAGAAGAGGAGGATCGGAGGAGGAGAGCTCTCCGCCCAGCGCTGGAAAAAGGTAAGTTTAAACCCCTTTCCCCCTTCCAGAGCCGGGCGGGAGGGGGACCCTGAGGGTGTTGGCACCCTCAGGGCACTATAGTGCCAGGAAAACGAGTATGTTTTCCTGGCACTATAGTGGTCCTTTAACTATTTTGTGTTTTAATTCGCTGTTTGTGTGTCTTTTTTTAAGTATCACACAATACAGAAAACAAAATTCTTCAAGGTGTAAAAAAATAAAATAATTCGCTATAACTTTTTAAAGAAAAGTTCATAGACTTAAAACATTGTTTTAGAAAACATAATTTTAATAAATGATAGGTGACATGTTTCACATTAAGTATCTTATCAGCCACAAAACAAATTAATGGAAATAAGTTGAAAACAGCGAAGTCTTGGGTTCATCTAGAGTTTGCCTATTGAGATACCATGCACTTGAGCTGAAGGTTATGTAAATTTTATAAAATAAATTATATAAAATGTCCTGAATTTAATTTTTATGAAAATGTCATGCTTTCAAACTTCTCTGATACCATTCTTCGTGCCAATACTCTTCACTTTATAAACAGACACAATCACATTCTGACAAGGGTCACGATTATCCACAATTATCCATACCAACACCTATATACCTTGTTGCCAGTTTACCTACCCTCAAATCTACCTGCACATCTACACTGACATCTACCAACACACTTTGGCACCAACAAGGTATCAACAAGGGTGTCCATAGAACATTTTCCAAGGATGGAGCAAAGAAAATGTTTTCTACATTACTTAAATCAATGGAAGAGCAATATTTGGGTAAGTGGGTTCCTCTTGCCCCCTATTGCTTTATGCTTCATATGTCCATAAGTATCACCTAACTTGGACTCTGACACCTTTCCACACTCACACTAAAACATACACCCAAAAGCTATCTCTGATAAATGTCCACCTTTACGCACTGACACACTATTCACACACTGTTGTGCCAACAAAATGTTTTATTCCCATCTTGATTCAGTTCTCTTGTCTTTACTAGTCCATAAATGCCTCTCATACAATCGATCCATTGGTAAGCTCTTCCCATTCATCTAGGATCTCATCTTTTACAAACTTATCATGCCTTAATTTTCGACTCTTGCTTTACTTCCAATCACAAAAAAAGCCGGTAGAACCATCTGTAAGTTTCATGCTAAAGTATAAATATGCACCAATGCAGCATAGCCTCAGGTGAATATTTCCAGAAGAGTCCACTTTGAGTTATAACTATTTTTCTATGCAAGGAGATCACTCTGTCCACATCCCTGTCTACTTAGTAAAAGATTAATGAAAATTTGTATATAAGAGCAAGTTTTGCTTTCTTACAATTTGCCCTCTCCTGCAGTACAGTGACAAAGTCGGGCTTGTGATGGAGAATCCTTTGCAGTCTAGCACCCGAGCACCAAGTTCTTCTATATAGTTGAACCGTTTCAGGAAAAAATGCAAGTATTTTGTGTCTATTGTTTGCAGTAAAATGTCTTAGCTAGCGTTTTGGATATAGATATAGAATACCTTTCTCTGGGTGTAATCATACTATTATATTTAAGGAAACTTCTCTCCTGTAATGAGGCATGAAAAATGAGATGAAACCTATTTTAAGTTTCTGCAATTTTTTATTTATTTTCGATCAAGCAATTACATTTTATTAGCTCTAGGCTGAGAATTTCTCAAAACCCCATTTAGGATATCTGTATAACAGATATAATATTCAATAGAGAATATTATTTCACTATGAAGGTTAGCTTATACCAAGTGCCCTCCAGGAGAAAATGGGTTTTCGAGATGGAATTTTAGCACAAAATAAAATAAAAGGGACTGGGTTGCACAGCAGCTTATGCAATTTGAAAAAAACTGATTAAACATTTAAAGCGGGCTGCAAAGGTTGCTTGGGATAATTTTTATTTAATATAATGTTAAAAACACACCTAAACCATGCTAAAGAATTTCACATAATTAACTGAATTAGACAATAAATTCAAGTGCATCAATTTGCCGGCCATGACACTGAGAGAGCCACACGTATCAATGTCAACATTTTATAGTGCAATGGATGGTATATTAATTCTAGTTACACATTTCATGTAGACGTCTGAAGGACACAAGCCGTACATTCTATTATTTTATACACATTGCTGAGCTGAGCTTTACAAGCTGTTACAACCTCCATAAAATCTATGAAGAATGCTGTGTGAGTGTATTGTTAAAAAAACATTAACAAAAAAGACAAAAAAAAACTATTTTAACAAAAAAACACTGAGTAGAACTTGGAATCAGAAATGCAAGGTTTTTTATGGATGGACAAACATACAAATGGAAAGAATTTTAGAACAATAACATACACCCAAAAGCTCACTCTGATACATGTCCACTAGTGATGTCCCGAACGGTTCGCCGAACGGTTCGCGAACGGTTCGCCATGGTTCGCTGCAAACGGTTCACCACGGACTCCAGTCAGCAGACACATTCCAGCCAATCAGCAGCAGACCCTCCCTCCCAGACCTTCCCACCTCGTGGACAGCTCACTAAGAATGCAGCTTCAAAATGGATGCTGTCCATGAGGTGAGAGGGACTGGGAGGGAGGGTCTGCTGCTGATTGGCTGGAATGTATCTGCTGACTGGATTCCGTGGCGAACCGTTCGTGGCGAACCGTGGCGAACCGTTCGGGACATCACTAATGTCCACTTTTACGCACTGACACACTATTGACACACTGTTTTGCCAGCATAATTTTAGATAGATAGATGGATAGATAGATAGATAGATAGATAGAGGGAGGGATGGATGGGTGGATAGAGATAGACTGATCGATTGATTGATTGATAGATATTTTATATGCTTTTAATGTTTTTTTATTAGTGTACTTTAAATACTGGATAATTGAACATTTTTTATTTATGTTTTATTTATTTTGTTCCAGAACACATGCTGCCAAAGTATTATGGACGTTGTACTACCACAGTAGCCGATGGACTACTTAATGATTATATTTCACCTGTTTGTTGTTTTAACATTGCCCACATTCCTTTTTAGAATTTTGCAATAAATTGTAAAAAGAGACAAACAGAGGATACAAAACTAGCAGAACATACTGTTAGGTAGAGGATCCAATTACCAATCTGAGTGGGAGGATGGTGAGAGCTGTGTAATTACTTGTGATCCCACAGGTTGATTGTTTCTTGTAATTATAATAATTAGCGGAATGAGAATAAAACGCTATCTCTTAAAGACCTTACGTCCATATGGGTCATTTGGTTGAGAAGATACTCTTTGTGTTTTATCTACCCTGTAACTAATTACTCAGCTTGTATTTGAAATGCTCATTTCGTGTTTTGCTAATCAGATTTTCTTATAGTGATTTTTGATGCAGTTGTATAAATTCATATACTTCTTGTATTTCAGAATATATTTCCTTCAAAGGGAGGATAGAATTTTCCAGTTACATTGAGAACATGCCTGAACAAAATTGGCAAATTTGAATATTAAAATCTCACCAGTCGTGATGCTTTACCAGCAATTTGGTGTTATATTTGTATAAAGCTTGTCTGTTACCTATCCTTGTAGATCAGTTATAAGGGGAATTGGACTCCACAATGGTAAGCTAGGTGCGATATCCAAAGGTTACCTTGAAAAATAATGGAGTTACAACACATCGTATAGCACAAATTTCAATAGGCCAATCCTGATGAGAAGGAACTACAAAAGAAATCTGTATAAGTCGTAACATGCTTCACACCAGGCAGTCCTCGGATAACCAGAACTCAAGTCTCACTCCTATGAAAATAGGAGGGTTATTTTATAACTTAAATGCAGATTAATATAGGAAATTATGGAGAAGCGGAGGCTGCACGAAAACTCACAGGGGAAGCTGATATGGAAACTTGAATTGTATGAAAATACACAGGGTAAACTTGAACGTACCTGGACAATGGTGAGTATAGCTGAAACGAACAGGGAGATAGTGAATTTAGGACAATTATCACAAGTGTACACAGAGGACAGTTGCACAAAATAATACAATTAGAGTGCGAGCGCTGTATGTATATAGCCTTCATAGTCATACAGAACATATCATAGCTCTTTGATCTGTCAAGAACATAAAAAATAAACTTCATCCACATGTGACATTATCCCTACCGCCTCATAGACTCAAGCATAGCTTAGTGTACTGGCTCCAACATCTACAGTATTCTACTGGTCAGCCATGAAGGATATGAATGTTAGAGGAAGTATTTTGGGGTGGCTAGCATTTAAAGTTAACAGTGGCATTTAGGTGTGGAAGGTTTGGTAATTTTTAGCATAGAAAGAGGGTAAAAATGACAAATAGCTATGTAAAGGGACTGTAGCTCTTTACTATACCAGATTTTGCATGGACTCTTTTAATGGATATTTGATCAACATTTTTTATTGTTACTGTTTAAAAACATGTAAAGCTAATAATCTGCATTATTATATTGCCACTTTTCCAAATATGACTATATATTGGGGAAATGCTCTGTTATCTTCCTCTAATTAACACATGATGATTTATTTGCGGCTGGGTATTATCCTCCATCCCTTTTCCATTTGAATCTAAAACAGGCAAATCTTCCTTTCCTCCATGTTTCTTTTCCTCCTGCCTCACTTTTTCCTAAATCATTCCTGCCCCAAAATCTTGTCTAAGATGTTTGAAGTTTTTTTAACTGGAAATGTTAAACATTCTGTGGCAAAAGCAGGAGCTATTCTGAGACAAAGTTATACTTAGGGAGCTATCACCGTGGAAACAAAAAGAATGTCTCTCAACATTTAGTATTTTGTATTTAAAATAGCTGCTTCATTGCCTTGGCTCCAATACTCAATGCAAAAGCCGCTCCAACACCTCTAACACCTCCATACTCTACACCATGTGCTACCCACAGACTCCAGCATGCACGGGGGTGACGCTATAAACCTCCTAGGTGCAATGCATCCTGGGGAAACTTGCTTTGAATTGCAAAAAAAAATTGTAAACTGAGGCATTGTTTTCAATGGATTTTCATTTGAAAATCGAAAATTATTTAAACCGAGGCGTTTGTAAACCGAGGTACCACTGTACTCCGATATGTCACCTCCCAATGTCATCACTACATTTGTGTCCATCTTTCCTTTGACATTGAACCAGGGTCTTGCTTGAATATCTACAAAGTCCTAAAACACATTTTACAATGAAGCTAGTCAACAACCAATTACTAAATGACCGTAAAGGTTATTGTATTAATCACGTTTCCTGGTTCTACCCTTCACCTGGAAAATTCAACCAGCCTCTCGAACGAGCTTGAATTGTAATGAACCTCTTTTGCTTTAAGCATTTCCCGTAGGCAGTAAATGAAAGTTATATTTTGTACTAGCTTGTTACCCAATTAATCATTGTCGTCCCTTAAATTAGTGACCTATCTAAAGCCTATCTAAAGCCTCCTAAAAGGAAAAAATGGTTTATTAAAGTTCCAATACACGAACATTAAGTTATATTCTGATACTGCCACATTGAAGCTCCTTCAAAAGCCCTTTGAAATGGTTTGTTTTCCAGGTATTTTTATACCTTTTTCCACTTTAAAATTGTTTCAGATGATCCAGAAAGGTATTTTTTTTTCTTTATATCTGTAAATATCTTTCTTTTGTTTGTGTTTGAAGAAAAGTCTTTATTGAAGCTCTATGAAAGTTAAACATTGTGTGGGTGATAGGACAAACTTCACACTGGTATTAAATCCATACACTGTGCGAGTTAAATATAGCATTCCACATTCCACGCTGTATGCAAAGGGTATTAAAGGATGCCTTACTTCATATTTATAACTGGATGAATGTACTAGCGATCCTGATGCGTAGGACATGATTTGGAATTGCTTAAGTCCTGAAGAGTATTCTTAGGTATATCTGACAGTAAATAGCTTTGTTATCAATGCCTTTGCTAGTCCTTAAGCTAGCACACTGTATCAATGAAATTAGGTCATTTAAATGACATTCTCTTGCAAGGTTGCCTAGGATGGCGTTATAAACAGTAAAAAAATGGGCCGTTACAGATAGTAAAAAAAAAATGGAAAAATGTTCTTCTACAGCAACACCCGGTCCAGCTTTGGTTTTGCTTTTTCTTATTACATTTGTATTGCTGATAGTTATGTTTTATTTGATTTTCTGTTTCATGTTATACCTTGAACGCAATCTTTCGTACATTGTTCATTACATACCACTCTACTGGATCATGATTTCATTGGAAACACTATAAAAAGTACAAGGTTTACCTTATCAGCTCATGGATTAAAAAGAAAGAAAAACATATGTCTACTCTCCAGGAGCTATAGCTAGGAGTTTTGAATATTTATTGTACCTGAAACCTGATTTTACTGATTTTACTGGTATGGCTGAACAAAAATAAAGCATTTAACACAAGTGACACATTTGAACCCATGAATGGCTATAGGTAGAGATACTAAATATTTGCAGAAAATAATATGTGTTTGAGACCACTAAGTAATGGGTTAAAATGTATGTAACTGTTTTTGCAATATGACCTCCATTTAGAAGTGGAAGTTCATCAAGGAACTTGGTAACACTTTTAAAAAGCCTGCGTGAAGGTGAAACGCCTCAGTGTTTTATACTAAACATTTGGTTTTATTATTTTGATTATAAATAAAACTAGTTTTTTTTATCAAATTTGGATCTTCCTGTTTTAATCTCTAAAGATTTTTACCTGGAAGATTCATTCTTTAGTTTCCTAGGTGGCGAAGATACCACCTAAGCTATATAGGATTAAAGGACCACTCTAGGCACCCAGACCACTTAACCTTAATGAAGTGGTCTGGGTGCCAGGTCAAGCTAGGATTAACCCATTCTTTTATAAACATAGCAGTTTCAGAGAAACTGCTATGTTTACAAATGGGTTAATCCTTCCTCCAATTCCTCTAGCGGCTGTCTCATTGACAGCCGCTAGAGGTGCTTGCGTGATTCTCACTGTGAAAATCACAGTGAGAGCACGCAAGCATCCATAGGAAAGCATTGTAAATGCTTTCCTATGCGACCAGCTGAATGCGCGCGCAGCTCTTGCCGCTCGTGCGCATTCAGCCGAATGGGAGGAACGGAGGAGGATCGGAGGAGGAGAGCTCCTTGCCCGGCGCTGGAAAAAGGTAAGTTTTTACCCCTTTCCTCTCCCCAGAGCCGGGCAGGAGGGGGTCCCTCAGGGTGGGGGCACCCTCAGGGCACTATAGTGCCAGGAAAACGAGTATGTTTTCCTGGCACTATAGTGGTCCTTTAAACATAACCTTACTGTGCTCTCCGTTTGTGAGTATACCTACTTTTATTATTCCATTATTTATTTTAGCTGTACAAAGAGCACTATCTTTTGTTTGTATTTTCATTTCATACGCTGGTGAACTCACTATGATAAAACAGCATATTGAAAGAGGTCACTTCTACGAACGCTGACTACCACATGCTGCTGACCGGCCTGAGGATTCCTTTCCATATAAGATTTAGACCAAGACCAAGATCGTGATATCCACAGACGGGGATTGTACCATCCAAGCACATATATGTGGAGCTGTTTTCAATCTTCAGAAGATTGTAAGTGCATTTACTTTCTTTTATTTATAATCACCAGCAGCA